GTGTACATAGAAAAAGTCTTAGATCTTTGAGTTCAGCTCATGAAAAATGGGGGCAAAAACAAATCACACTCTGTCTTTCCAGGCACATTTTCATTTTTCTGTTTTAAAAAGTTGAGTAAATCTGCTCATAATGGATCCCTGAGTCAGAAGAGCATCACCTCCTCGAACACGACTCCATCCGAGTGTTTGTCCAGTCCTCCGTCAGCCGCTTCCTCCTCCACTTCCTGCGGGTCTGAGTTGATCTGTGCGACTCCCAGCCTGTAGAGGACAGAAAACAATCATAACTTATCATGGGACGAAACTCTGATCATCACCACCTCCCCCGGCTGACAGGCGCTCAGCACCTCCGCGATCTGCTGGTTCACGATGTCTCTGCTGCTCAGGAAGTCCAGCAAGCGGTTATAGAGGTAGTAATACGCGGCGTTATCGAACACGAGAGCTTTCCGCCGAAGCGCCGTCACGCTGCTGTTGCCGATGCTGCTTTCACGCTGGGGTTGGTCACAGATCTCTGTGACAGCGCTGGTGTACGGCTCCAGCTCTTTGCAGAGGCTGATGGCGTGGTGGGCGTGGTGGAGGGCGCTCGGTCCGTCGGGTCGCACGATCCAGCGAGAGGCGGATTTGGTGAGTGGGTGCAGATGAGGGTTGGACTCAGGAGGGTCAGATCCAAACTGTATGGCTGGTCCTGAAGCTCCGAGCAGGAGACGTACTGAAAGAGGGGAGGAGACAGACGGGATCGTTCAACGGCCAATCAGGCGTTTAAAATCTGTGTACTACAAGTTCCCTACAAGGAAAATTTAGCATGAGGTGTATAACTCAACAGCATGTCTTTTTTGAAGGAATATTTTCATATCAGTTTTATTTGTACAGCCCTTTTCACAGTATTTGACATCTCAAAGTAGCTTTTCAGAAATAAACGGACTAAATTATGATATTTTAATATCCTTTTTGGAGCTGTCACTATTAATGTGCTGTACAGAAAGATTCTTAAAAATGCATTTTTCTTTGTATATGTGTTGATGTTATATAATGTTAATGTCTGTGTTTGCAGGGTTAACTAAAACTACAAACAATTCATCACTTGAAATCAATTAAACTTTAAATTCAATTACATTTAACCTTTAACTTGTTTCATATTATGTGATGTACTAAAATAACTAAAACTTAAAAAAACATTTTTTTTAAAAACCTACTAAAAATTAACCAAATTTAAATGAAAAGGGAAAATACAAAAAAACTAATTCAAAATATATATATAAAAAAAAATACTATAATAGTATCTTACTGATACAACATACAACAAAAAGCTGTGTAGATTCTTGACATTTTTATTTTCTTTTTTGATTAACAAAACGTATAAATGGAAAATAAAAAGGGGAAAAATATTTTAATGATATTAAGATGATGAATATTATTGTCAATATAATTGAATAATATAACTATTATATTATTAAATATATTATTATTATTATTAATAATAATAATATTACTAAATAACTAAATCAGAAATAGCACTGTTGTAATATTTCACTATAAATAAAAAATATTTTTAAAATGTATAATATTTTTAAAATATATCATTTTTACAAGGCTACTGTAAAATTGCCATACTTATATTTATCTTAACTTTCAAATGTTAAAACCTAGTGCTTTAATTTTGGTAGCAAACCACAGGGAGCCCTTAAAGCTTCTCTTTTGTTGACAACAGAGAAAACACGCAGTGCCTGTATTTATTTAATTAAATCACAGCTTTTGTGATTTTATAATCGCACTAAGCCATATTGCTTGTATTTTATTTCATTTATTACTGTTTATTTAATATCAAGTTTTTTGTTTTCGTTTCAGTTAACTATAATAACTCTGATATTGTTTATAATGATGTTTTTGTTACTGTAGCAGTAGTAAAAAAAGCATGATAAGTTATGATTGTTTTGGAGCAATTCATATGAGGACTTTTGTGAAATATGTCAATGCAACAGAAGCGTTATAATAAATATTAATATAATAATTAGATTTTGGTGATCTATTCTCACCTGTGGTGGTGTTGTAGGTTCAGAGATACATCCCTGATTTTTCCCCCACATCTGTGAGGCCAGTTCAGGATATAATACATCAGTGCAGAGCGCCACCTTCTGGGCACAATCCGCCACATACAGCGGCGGCCAAAACCGGGACGAGCAGCAGGTCCAGATGATCTCGAGCACTTTCCCTGCGGACGATATACTTGGCTCCACAGACGACCTGCAGAGATCAGACTCACACATCAGCTCATCTCATCACATGAGAGCTGTGCTGTAGTGAGTCTGCTACCTGATGAGGACAGACTTTACTGACTCTGCCTGCCGTCAGGAGCTGCTGCGCCGTCCACAGGCCGCTCTGTGAGTGTGAATACAACAAAGACACAGACGCCAGCAGCTCGTCCTGTCAAACGAGAACAGCAGGCCATTCTGTCATTAATACTACAGAATATTTCGAGTAACTCCACTTGACGTCTGGAAATGGCATGTGTAGGGAAGAGAAAGTGTGATAGAGTTGCTTTGTGTTACTGAATAATTAATATTAGTGATATTATGGCTTTGACTGCACCTACACTATCAGATGAGAACAAACTTTGAACTGAACTCATCTGAATAATGACACTAATGTGCTCTGTATTTTTGTGAATGGTCCACTGAAACAATTTCTCATTTGTTTTGGTCCTGCCAATACTCCTGTGTGGCAGCAAAACATTTTTAGGGTGAGACGGTGATGTGATTACAACAATCTGCACTAATAAACATGTTTTCACAGTTGTTTCATTGAAACTGTCTCTTTAAATCAAAATTACAGTTAATGCACTCAACAGCATGGATAGAATTAAACAGAGAGAAAAGTAAACACAGATCACATTACCTGCATGTCCCTCTTTTGCATGCAGACACTGCTACCCTATAAGCTAACTCTATATGTTCACGTGTGATATCCTCTGGTTTAACCATCTCTGCCCACTGCCAAGCAGCTTTTTCCAGCTGCAACCGAGGAGCCATTCTGCACAAAGAAAAACACAAGTCTTTGGAGTTATACAAAATACACCTGAACATACATGTAGACACCCTGAAAACAGAAAACACAACAAACACACACTTTTAGAGAGTTACACAGAGATCACATACTGTACACAGCAATAAATAATTAAAAAACAAACACAGACATCTTACACAGAAAATCACATCACACACACTTGACAGATACACACATCTGTGTGATGCACAGGCCTTGCATCACTGGTCCAGCATGCACAATACTTTTGATTTTACCCCAAACATCAGAAAAACACTCTAATGACAGCGAATTTATTTTAACAAGCAAACAACTGGCAAGCACAGCAAATAATATTTAAGAAGCACCACGGAGTCCCAATTAGCACATACATTTTTGATTATCCCATCATCATAATTCAGTTTAGAATAAAACATACCGTCAAAAATAAATACTCCGGTTCACGGCCTCAACACAGCTGTATTGTTTTATAAATCTTTAGTAAACACAATAATATTAAATGTTTTCATCGAGGCTGCGCAGTTAGCATGCTAGCAGCTAGCTCTCGACTTATTTTCATTAAATACATGCACCTGGCGTGAATTTACCAAGAGATTCTAGACTGTGAAGATGCTTTCATAAATATAGGAATTTTAAATCACACTTTATTTATGGTACGTTTGTATTTAGCGCCCTTGCGTCAGCTTTTATATAAATATTTTTGTCCCTTCGTCAGTTTCAAACTTCTATGAGACGTACGTACTTACGCGTGACGTAATCGCGGCGTCTGACGCCAGCGCGTCAGTGGGCCGCTCAATGTCGCGCTGTAGCCACATGGCAACATACTGTTTTCATTCACTTTCTCTCTACTCTGGAAAAAATACAATGCACTGAGTTGTTGAAATGCGAAACAAACTCTTAGCACAGGATAATATGCTGTTTTTGAGCTAGATGACATTTAAATGACCATAAATGGCTCATTCCCCTTTGACATAGAACTATATGCTGAAGTACACCACAAATTGCACAAACAGGTTTCTGTACATTTCCTCTCTGATTATTTATTTATTAATATTTTTGCATCTTGGAAAAGTTAAATGGATGTCATAGTTTAAAAAAAACTGTAGGCCTATGTTCATACCAGTAATGTGGCCTAATTATTTGTATGAACATAAAAAGATAATAATAATAATAATAATCAGTCCCTGAACAAAGGGGGTCAGTATCAAAAGTCGCAGTGATCTTGTGTGCTGCTTTAACTACAGTGCATCTCTCTTTTTTTTCTCGCATTTGTTTGGCATTGAAGAATATAAACCATGTATTTTGGATTGCTTCCATTGTCCTCATTTGTAAGTCGCTTTGGATAACAGCGTCTGCTAGATGACTAAATATAATGTGTTGGAATGAATACAAGCAGCAGCAAGTCAATATGAACAACTCATATGACGCACCTCATGAAGTTAGCAACTTTGAAGAAGTACATCTCTTAATTCCCACATATTTTAATGACAATAATTTTAAAATGTGAAAAATAATCATGCAGAATGAATATTTATGCCCAAACCTTTGTATATACCTAATACACATATAATTATAAAACTCCAACTTTTAGAGCTGTACAAACACTTGTCCACATGTAATCAGTGTGTGACAGATGTTTAGCTCTGTCTTCAGCTGTAGATGGTGCTTGGGTTAAGGCAGCTTTGAGGGGGTCCTGCACAGCTCCTCCTTTAGATCCGTGACATTGGTCCTGTTGTCATGGAAATAGTTCAGACGCATACATTTGACAAAGAGTCTTCAAATGCACAAAAGCCAGGATGATGAACAAGGATTAAGCTCGACGCATCTGAGACGCCATAGACAAATACTGCTTCAAAAGCATTAAAAAGCACTTCTTTAGGGGTGTTTCGCGGGCTATATTCGTCTTTATAAATGAAGGGAATGTTTGGTTTTCGCAAGAGTAGACTTTGCACGGTACAAATGCAACAGAACAGTTGCATTTAACATTGGAGCAGCAAGTGCTTTTGCTTGGACACGCGAGATGGCCAGAGTGAGAGTGCGATGCATTCAGCACCTGTCAGGATGGTTTGTTCTGTTCAGCTTAATGACACGCCAGAGTCACTCCATCGAGACAGGTAGGGTGATGGGTGTTCAGTTCTCACGATTTATCCCGTTATTACCTCGTTGACTCCGACACTTGTTGCAATCAGGTTTCTTCTCGTATTCTCATTTGTGTGTATTGGCATTAGAACTAGTTGGAATTGCAATGGCCTTCACACACATTTGGCTTGTCCCGTGTAATTTGTCTTACCACAGTAATCTAATGAAGTTGCAAGTTGAAATTGAAAGTAGATTCAAAATGACATTTAATCTTTGATTAGTAGTTTTTCAGTTCCTAAAATGTTTTTCAAATATGTTTTAATGCCTAAATTTTAAAAACGAACACACAGTGAAATAATAGCCTAAAATTAATTTCTTTTTTAAAAACGTTTTATTATTTTTTATTTTACTTACAAAATGTGTGTGTGTGTGTGTGTGTGTGTATGCATGTATGTTATTATTATTATTATTATAAAAATTTATTGAACCATGTAATAACAAAACCCTTTACCAAAAACTAAAATAAAATATATATTAATGTAGGCCTATGTTTAATTACATATACACACATTACAATGTTTGTAGTAAACCTATTTTATAATAAACTGCACTTATTTATATATAGACATGTACAGTTATCGTTTGATATGAAAATCATTTATTGTTTTTTTTATTATGAGACAATAGGCTACATCTGGCTAAGGATGATTAATTTGATCTGACATTAAAAAACTGATATAGCACCTCCTCATCTGGTCCTGAGAAAAGGCCCTGGCATCTGTGTCATTACCCACCGAGTTGGCACTCTCTCTGCTGTTTCTCTAGAGTTTGAAATTACAGTGGGAACCCGGGAGTGATTGGAGTTAAGAGCCCTTTGGTCTTTCCAATTAAAACATTTATAGGGAACTGACTATTCTGCTGCTGCTCATTTTTGTGGAAACTCAGTTGAGGACACATGGTTACAGAATATTTTGAGGTATTGGTCCTTTTCCACCAATAGAAGGTTTCTCTGGACATTCCTGGCAGTGAGACATCACAGATCTACCGTTGCAAGTTGAAATTGAAAGTAGATTCAAAATGACATTTAATCTTAGATTAGTAGTTTTTCAGTTCCTAAAATGTTTTTAAAATATGTTTTAATGCCTACATTTAAAAAACGAACACACAGTGAAATAATAGCCTAAAATTAATTAATTTTTAATGTTAATACAAAGCCAGTTCATGCTTGTGGTCTTTCTAAATTCGAACTGAATTTGTTCTGTGTTCCTTCCATCCATGTGTTCTTTGTTTCAGTCTGCATGACCTTTAAAGGAATAGTTCATCCAAAAATGAAAATTTGCACCCAAAAATGAAAATCTCATCCTCAGGCCAGTTTGTTTCTTCATCAGAACAGATTTGGAGAAATGTGGTGTTGCATCACTTGCCCACCAGTGGATCCTCTTTAGTGAATGGGTGCCGTCAGTATGAGAGTCCAAACAGCTGATAAAAAAACATCACAATAATCCAAAAGTAATCCACACAACTCAAGAGTTTGTTTCTTCATCAGAACAGATTTGGAGAAATGTGGTGTTGCATCACTTGCCCACCAGTGGATCCTCTTTAGTGAATGGGTGCCGTCAATATGAGAGTCCAAACAGCTGATAAAAAACCACCACAATAATCCAAATGTAATCCACACAACTCAAATCCATCAGATAATGTCTTCCTCCATTGAAAAAGTCCATCCCCTGTTTATATACACGTACATACATACATATATGAATAACACAGATTCACAGAAAAGGCATCCTAATCAAGGACCTGTAAGTTATCCATACAACAAATTTAGAGCACGGGGAATAAAGGAGAGTTCATGACGTTTGGTTTTACTCCTGGGTACAACAAATGTCTTGTGCCGCCGAAGAGAATAAGTAGGTGTTGGAGCCATAGGCAGGAAACAATGCAATGGTGATGAACTGTCCTTGAGAACACGCAGCTTTTCACTTCACAAGATGTTAATTGATTGAATGGAGTCATGTGGATTACTTGATTTTGAATCTTATGGCCATCTCAATATTCCCAACAGTGAATGTTGTGGACTTCTGTGGACAGACAATACAGGGGGACGGCATGATTGTAAAGTCCCACCAGGAGTCCCAGAAGTACTACTTTGTCTCCATTGGGACAGATTGCCAACTCACCATGCAGTCCGCCACCCCCCGGGAGTTCTACTTCCGCTTTTTTCTGGTCTACAGCCTGCTAATATTGTCCCTGCACAGCCCCGCACCCCTCTTCCCAGAATCACCCAGGGGGTCCTCCTCATCTGGCCCGACGCGGCCTGATCTGAGCTTGGAGCCAACCACCGGGGAGGGGCCTGAAGACCCCTGCCATGCTGGCTCTTACATCCAGTTCTACGACGGGAGGGATAAGTCTGCACCCCCTATTGGCCAGCCACTCTGTGGGAAGAGCCCTCCCCGACCAGTGTTGTCAACGGGCAACTTTCTAACTCTACGTCTTGTGACGCGAGGAACTCAGCCAAGGGTGGACTTTGTTGGAGACTTTACTTCATTCAGGCTGGGTTAGAATGATTTTACATCCACTTCTCTTTTTCTTGAAGTTGAAGCACGATAGAATATCAACAATCTGCTCATATTGTTTGTCTCTCCAGGTTTTAACCAATCAGAATGCAGCGGAGAACCTTACTTCAACTGTCGCAATGGGAAGTGTATTCCCATGAGTCTGGTTTGTGCAGATGAAAAAGGCATTGACAACTGTGGCGATGGCAGTGACTTAATCGATTACCCTGGTTGCAATGGTCAGTGAGTTTATTTTGAGAAGGCTTTTTCATCTGGGATTTGTTCTTGATAGATCTTGCTCTTGTTTTTGTGTGTTTCAGGTCCTCTATCGACACCCAAGCCCCCACAGCATCACGTTACCCAACCTACACAGATGCTGGATGTTCCAACTCGGACAGTGTCCACTTTAAAGAACTGTGCCACTCCAAACGCCATTCCTGATCCAGATTCTGTGACCGGTAAGTAGTTCTTAAATGCAATAAAAAATATGCAGCCGAACAGAAACTCTCTTAAAAATAAAGGTTCTTTATTGGCATCTATGGTTCCATGAAGAAACTTCAGCATCCATGGAAGCTTTCCTTTGGACAAAAGTTTCTTTATAGTGGAAAAAGATTCTTTAGATTATTAAAATCACACTAAGAAAAAAAAGGTTCTTCCTTTTAGAACTGTTCACTGAAAGGTTATTTGGTGAACCAAAAATGGTTCTTCTATGGCATCACTGTGAAAATCCTCGTTTTGGATTCTTTATTTTTTAGGAGTGCATATTATGGTGGTGACTGGTTTGTAAAGCACATCCCATCCACATTTAAAGGAATAATTGCTACCCATTGTACTCTGGCTTGATAGTTGAATGCAGAAATTGTTGTATTTTCATATTTGTTAATGTATGTTGAATTTGTAATGAAACAAAGCACATTTAAAGGAATAACTGAACTAAAACTGAAAATGTCGTCATTTTCTTACTCTCATGTTGTTTCAGTTCTGTATGACTTTATGACTATATTTCAAGTCTACTCAAAGGAACCATTTTTTTCTTAGATTGAAGAACATTTAAAAAATCTATAGAAGCTTTTCCTAGTGAAAAAGTGCATCTAGACATTGTAGTAAACATCTCCTGTTGCCTTTCATTGTAGAATTGTGTTATGGTGTGTAAATGACAGCATTTTCATTTCTGAATAATCTGTTCCTTTAAGATAAGTTAGTAGTTTCTTTCTCATCTTGTAAAATTGTTTTACAGGCTTCCCAGAATTCTGTATGGTTAACTGCAGAAGGCCAAACTAACAGAACCTAGCACATGTTACTGTTGAAGCGTTCAGTAAATCAAATCAGTTTTACATGGTTGTGGGTCACTAAAGTCACTAAAGCAACTGTACAATATCCACCATCTTATTTTAAGTGCATATTTAGACCTTAAAAAGTAATTTAGATAGATAGATGGAAAACCTAGAGTAAGAAGATGGTTCAATGCACAAAACCTAAATATATCGACTACTCCTCAGAACAGCGCCTCTTTTTGAGTGTCCATAAATGTAACTTTATTGCTGTATAATGGTGAACTCTGAAAGGCTAAGGACACAAAGCTAATTGAGGAGCACATAAATATTCATTGCAAACAGTGAGCAGTAAATCAGCTGTTCGTTGTAACTTCTCAAGAGCACTAGTCTGCTAAGTAGAAACTACTCTTGTGCATTTGAACTAAAAGCTGACATTTAACTCCACATTCGATCTAAACTGCTTTTAAAAATCCACAGGTGTTTGAACAACACCACACTACTTGAAGAAACAGAATTCACAAAGAAAGCTCTAGGGACTATCATATCATATTTTACTGTATAAAATGATATAATGAAGAACACATAGTTGCCAAAATCAACAAAAAGCCTCTAAAACTATAAAAAATTGTTTACATTTTTTAAATAAAGCTGAATGAAAATGTAAATATTAGATGAAATACTTAAAAAACTTGAATAAAAATAAAATAAAACTTAATAAAAACACAATCTGATAAAATCACATAACAGAACTACTAAAATGTAAACTAAAATGAAAGCTGCAAATATATAAAAATAAAAGCTAATTAAAAATTAGTGTTGTCAAACGATTAATCGCGATTAATTGCATCCAAAATAAAAGTTTTTGTTTACATCATATATGTATGTGTACTGTGTATATTTATTATGTATATATAAATACACATGTATATATTTCAGAAAATTATGTTATTTTTATATATTAAATATATTTATTTATAATATAAATTAAATGAATATAACTATAGACATGTAAATATTTTCAAAATATATACTGTATGTGTGTGTATTTATATATACATAATAAATATACACAGAACA